TATATATATATATATATATATATATATATATATATATATATATATATATGGTAAATTTTGCGATATTTAAATGGAATCATTCTAATTTTATATAATTATTGTTTAAATATATTAATAATTTATAATAGACTACATCATTATTGTTACTATTACTATTACCATTATTAATACTAATACTAATACTTTTACTATTACTATAACCATTAAATTACTATTACTATTACTATTGGTATTTGTATTAACACATTAATATTAGTATTAATATTAGTATTAGTATTAGTATATGCATTAATATTAGTATTAGTATTACTATTAGTACTCTTAGGGCTCGTTCGGTTACCGCTATAAGGTTCTACTGACTAAATAGTAAAGGCTAATAACATGTTCGGTTGGTAAGATTCACATTTTTTCAAACCCGCTACTAAATTCAAAGCCCGCTATTAAATGCTACTATTTCATTAAATTAATAGCACCCCTCCACCTGAGATTAATTTAATAGGGGGTGACTAAAAAGGAAAAATACAATTTTATCCTTCAAATTATATTTTATTATTGTAAACTAAGTGGTTTTATAGACAATTCATATATAATAACTGATTTTAATAAATTTAATAGAAAATCTAATCTAACAAACCGAACATGCTACTAACTAAAAAATTAATTAGTCAGTAGAGAATTAATCCAATCTCATGTAATCCAATCTAATCCAATATAGGTAACCGAACGAGCCCTTAGTATTAATATTAGTATTACTATTAGTATTAGTGTTAGTATTATTAATTATTAGTATATGCATTAATATTAGTATTAGTATTAGTATTAGTATTAGTATTAGTATTAGTATTAATATTAGTATTAGTATTAGTATTAGTTTTAGTATTGGTGTTAGTATTAGTGTTAGTATTAGAATTAGTGTTAGTGTTAGTATTAGTATTAATATTAGTATTAGTATCACTTTTAGTATTAGTATTAGTATTAGCATAAGCATTAATATATTAGTATTAGTCTTAGGGTATGATTAAAATTAGTATTAGGATTACGATTGATATTAATATTAAGATTTAGATTTAGATTAGAATTATGATTATGATTAGTATTAGTATGATCATTATTAGTATTAATGTTAGTATTATTATTACGATTATAATTAATATTAGTATTAGAATTAGGCGTATGATTAAGATTAGGGTTATGATTAAGATTATAATTAGTCTTAATATTAGTAATAGTATTTATATTAGTATTACTATCAGTATTAGAATAAAGATTAGCACTTCAGTAATGTGTATCACTGATTGCATTTGAACAATGAAAAATGTGGATGATACTCGCAGAGTATTAGATGAGTTATAGACGATGTCAATGCATGTGTTGTACAACACTACTTTGATAATTAAGTTTCCTGTTAAGGATCTGAGTGTATTGGACGAGATAACTGTACCATTTGGTGCTCATAATGTATCTTATCATTTATATCACACTTTTTGTATTTTATATTTTCTTTTATCATTTATTTTGTTTATCTCGGTACTTTAATCAAATTAATTGATATTGTTTTTAATTTTTTTTCTATTATACCGTATTATACATCAACTATTAAAAGTTTTCGTTCGATTATTTTATCTAAAACATATTTTTATTTTTATATTACACTCATGCATCGTATTAGCATCCCCTTTTCATTCATAAAGGTGTATCGACGTGTTTTAGTCATTAAAAAAATTGAACTTAGATTTGATTCCCGTGCATCGCACGGGTGAATTACTAGTAATATAATTAAAATAAAACAATTAGTATATAGACATAAACACCCTCAATTAATAAGAAAACAAATCTTATATATCACTTTTTCTCTCAATCTTACGATTATTTTTTCCTATATAATCTCTCGTCTTTCTCTCCCTTTCCATCTCGTGTATCTCTCTTTTTTTTCTGCTTCTTTTTCTTCTCATCGACGTCTTTTCAAAAAAAATTACAATCAACCTCTTTCTTTCTCTATACCCCTTTCTCGATCACATCACATTTGTTCGATGTTTTTCCCCCATTGGAATTCTAATTTTTTTGGGATTATGTTGTAGAGAAGGGGAAAAAATGGGAGTTTTATATTATTAGATGATTTTTAGGCAAAAGAGTTAAAAGCGGACAACCAACATAAATCGCTCATTGCTTGAAAAAAGTGAGTCTTTTTGCTTTTCCCGTTTTGTATTTATCACTAATGAGTTTATAATGTATGTTTGTATTTTCTAATTGATTTTGGTTCAACAGATAGCAAAAAAAAATGAAACTGCAACATCAAATTACAGCATTGAACATAAACTGTAAATAGCAACTTATAATAGTAGATTTATTTGCAAACTGCAAATTGCAGTTTTTGCATTGAGAAACTATTTTTCATAATTTTTATTGTTGTTTTTTGCATTTTTTCGTATATGTATGTTTTTTTTTAGTATTTTTGTTGTTATTATTTGCATTTAGATATTGCACATCATATTTTCATTTTGTTGTTTGTAATTAGATGATGTTGATTTTTTTGTCTTTTTTCAGTTTGCTGTTTGCATTTGTGAATTCATGGGTAGTTTGTTATTTGAAATTCAATAATGCAAATTTTAATTATTCGTTTGCTATTTGCGTTTCACAGAGACATAAGCGGTGGCGCGGCGGCTGCGGCAGTGGCGCGGTGGTGATTTTTTTACAACCTGAGTTTGTAAGATAAATACTATATTTTATATTTTTTCTTTTACGAATTAATTTTGTTTAGTTAAAGTTTGGAAGAGAGAATTTTGGGGAAAATTGATTTGGTGGAGAGATTTTGAGGGATTTAATTTGATTTGATTAAGGGTATTTTTGCCACAATAAATATAATTAATATATTAAAATATGGAGACTTTGACTTGGATCTATGCACATAAATTATAATATAGAGGGACCTATAGCAAATTGCCCCTATTTTAAAACATTCTAAAAACATCTGAAATTTTATTTAACCCTAATTTAAACTCAATTTCATCAAGTAACTTGATATGCCTAATTGGACCGACTCAATGGAGCCCCAATTTATCTAATTACTGGGTCCACTACATGAAAGCCCAAACACCTACAAAATAAAGCTTGTGCCCAACAAAGTAAACCCAACCCAATCAACGACATATAAATAGAGGTTTTTACTCATTTGTTAAGGTACGTTCTATTATTTACAAGTAATCTAGAGTGTTTATTCCCTCTACCATCTCCACGATCTGTACATCTGACTTGAGCATCGGAGGGGTTTCCGTCGGATCAACCCCCGACTTAGTTCACGTGTGTTCATTTCGCAGGGACCTCAGGATCATCAAGTTGTCAAGCTACTGATACGCTTTGCTCTCCTAGCTCGTTTACTACCCTACTACAGGTGATCTAAGTAATTATCATCATTATTTTGGCGCCGTCTGTGGGAACATGCAAACCAGATCACGTAGCCAGCAAGATTCTCCTGAGGCATCCGCTTGGAGAGAGAATGACACGGCTAACAACCTCCCAATCCGCGGAGGCTCTGGCTTGCCACCTCCTCCACGTGCTCCGGATCCGCCTCGCGAGGTTCAGGTGATTCCCCCTCGGGACCCACCACTCGCCGATCCGCCACTCCCTGCTCCCCGAACGGTTCAGATAACCGAGAATACGCTCCAACGCATGATAGGAGAAACCTCAACTCGCGCCCCACAGAGACCGTGACCCAATATATCGCCACGATAGGAGCAAATGCTCCTAACGCGGTACTAGTACCAGCTCCACCTGTGGTGCCACCCATGGCACCACCGCCAGTCCAGAACGAAATAAGTGTCTCCTCATCCACCTCGGATCCACAGCCCCGAGTGCAACTATCCACTAATTACAGGGGGCACATCCCAGACAGCAACGTCAACGCTCCCCCCCCACGGGGTAATGCGTCTCCACAGAGAGTCCCTCTCTTCAATGAGGGAGAAGGCGAGGTAAACAACAGAATGTCTCGCCAAATTTCCTTCCCCTAATTGAACAATCCAATTGGCGGAAGAATGAATGCCCCAGTAAGACGCAGTCCTTTCACCATGGACATTCTCAACGAGGTTTTACCTCAAGGAGTGAAGATCTCAGGGTTACCTCAGTTTGAAGGAACCACCGACCCACTAGAACACATAGAGAAATTCCACGCCATGGCATATTTGTATGGCCCAACAGATGTCGTAATGTGCAAAATGTTCTGCACCACTCTCTCCAAGCGGGCCATGAATTGGTTCAACTGTCTACCTACAAGATCGATCAACATCTTCGCTCGATTGTCGCAACGATTCACCAACCAATTCGCCATCAACAAACAATATGCCAAGACCCCAGCACACCTTTTCTCTCTAGTACAGAGAAACAATGAAACGCTCTGCAACTACATCAAGCGTTTTGTGGAAGGCGTCCACAAAGTCCTAAGCACAGGACAAGACATGCTCTCCGGGATCATGCAACAAAACTTGAAGTCGGGTAGGTTCAAATAATCTATTGCCGGACGACCTCCAGGCAACCTAGAGGAGTTTCTGAACCGAGCTGAGAAACGCATACGAATAGAGGAAGCTTCTACCCATGCTCCTCCCAAGAAGAAGAGGGAAGATGATCGACAAGACGTTATGAGACGGGATAATCGACGTCCACCATCCCCACCTCAAGGCCAATCGTCATCCTCCTACAATCGATTCACTCCGTTAAACACTCGACTCACTGAAATCCTTCATGTGATAGAACAAAGAGGTCTAGCAAAACCTCCACGCCCAATGCAGCCCAATGCGAAACGAGAAAAATCGGATCACTACTGTCGATTCCATAAGGACACAGGACATACTACCGAGGAATGTGCACATCTAAAATTAGCAATTGAGAAGGTTAACAAGCAGGGTCACTTAGGCGAATACATCGACAAGCCTTGAAACAAGCGCCGTGATGACCTCCCACGCCGAGATAACTATCGAGATCAACGGCAACGACAAGAGGAAGGGGGTCATCGGCGCGAACAAGATAACAATGATAATCAACCCACCCGGGGAATCATTGCCTTTATCTCTGGAGGACCGGCGGGTGGCGACTCTCAAAATGCGAGACGCTCCCTCGCTCGGTCAGCACGTATGAATCAAGAGCACGTCTCTCCATCCGCATCTATCTATCAGATACGAAGACCTAATCATAGCATAGTCTTCGACTCCTCGGACCTCAAAGGCCCAAACGAAGACCATGTCAACGCATTGGTAGTCATAGCATCGATGGCCAACTTTTTGGTTAAGAAGATCTTAGTGGACGGTGGAAGCTCAACAGACATCATGTATCTCCATATATTCAAGCAGCTGGGCATAGATAACGCCCGATTTAGCCCCATCACTACACTGCTAAAAGGATTCACTGGGGAGGGCGTTTTATCCATGGGAGAAGTAGAGTTGCCCATCTCCTTAGGGGACAACCCTTGTCGAATTACTAAGATGATAAAATTCCTCATCGTCGACAAGCCGTCGCCCCTACATCATCCTAGGGAGGCCAGCAATCCATACTTTCAAGTTAGTGCCTTCCTCCTTCCACCAAAAGTGGAAATTCCTCACTCCTTATGGAATGGGGGAAGTACTTCGAGATAGACGTCTCGCTCGAGAGTGTTGTGCAAGAGCCCTACGAGAACCATCCAAGAAGCCCAAACCGCCCGGAAAGGGGAGACGACACCCAAAAACCCGACCAATGGAAATGGGTCAACGCGATCATCGAGGACGATAGAGAAATCCTCATCAGTGTACCAGACGACAACATTAAGCTAGCGGCTGTCCAAGAGCTTAAGCTCATAGAGCTCAGACCTGGAGATGATTCCAAGCTCCTACGCATCGGATCCGATCTAGATCTAGAGATGGAACAACAACTAATCAACTTCATGCGACACAATGGAGATGTGTTCGCTTGGAAACCCAAGATTTGTCGGGCATTCCCCCTCAGGTAGCTCTACATCAGCTCAACGTCGACAAAAGGTTGAAGCCGATCAAACAAAGGAATCGGACATTTGGTCCCGAACGCAACAAACACATCAAGGCGGAAGTGACAAAACTTCTAGAGGCAGGTCATATACGACCAGTTCAGTATCCTGAATGGTTGTCGAACGTAGTACTTGTTCCCAAGCCCGGTGGCAAGTGGAGGTTATGCGTGGTTCACCGACCTTAACAGAGCTTGCCCGAATGACCCCTTTCCTTTACCTAGAATCGACCAACTCATCGATTCAACCTCGGGATGCGAGCTCCTCAGCTTGCTTGATGCATATCAAGGATACAATCAAATCTTGCTCGCCTCAGAAGATCAAGAAAGGGCCATCTTCGTCACCGATCAAGGCATCTACTGCTACCAAGTCATGCCTTTCTGATTAAAAAACGCGGGAGCCACTTACCAATGTCTAGTGAACGCAATGTTTGCAGACCAAATCGGCAAGAATATGCAGGTGTACATCGACGACATGCTCGTCAAAAGTGTCAGGGTCTCGGACCATATAACCGATTTTGATCAGTGTTTCGCCATCATGCGAAAATACAAGATGAAACTCAACCCCCTCAAATGTTCGTTCGGAGTTCGTGGAGGAAAATTTTTGGGATATATGATTTCACAGTGAGAAATCGAAGCCAATCCCACGAAAATCGAAGCCATCACCTCCATGGCTCCACCAACATCGATCAAGAAAGTCCAACAGCTTAACGGCTGCCTGGCATGTTTGAACAGATTCATTTCAAGATCAACGAACATGGCTCTCCCCTTCTTCAAGATCTTAAGGGGAGGAAAGTTTGAATGTGATGAAGCTTGTCAAAAGGCTTTCGCCGAGCTGAAGTCATATCTAGCATCACCACCCTTGCTCACGAAACCTCAGCCCGGAGACACCCTTCTCCTGTTCTTGGCTAACTCAGCTGATGCCATCAGCGCAGTCCTCATCCAAGATGGAGGAAAAGGCCACCAACCCATATACTACATAAGTCGCGCCCTTCAAGGAGCCGAACAACGCTATACCAATATGGAGAAGGTCGCCCTTGCCCTCGCCCTCATCAACGCAGCTCGGAAAGTCTGACCTTACTTCCAATCACATCAAGTGGTAGTTATCACCAATTACCCCCTGAAGCAGATATTAAGGAGTCCCGAGACATCCGGGCGGTTAACCAAATGGGCAATAGAGCTGAGTGAGTACGCGGTAGAATTCAAACCCCGCCCCGCCATCAAGGCGCAAGTATTGGCCGACTTCTAAGTAGAAATGACATCAGTAGAAGAGAGAACCTCCCTCCCTGCTTGGTCTGTCAACGTTGATGGATCTTCTACAGCCACAGGAGGTGGCGCAAGTATCGTACTAACGAACCGCAACGGAGATGAATTTGAATATGCTCAACGATTCGAATTCATAGCCTCAAACAATGTCGTTGAATATGAAGCCTTGATAGCTGGAATCCACCTCGCCTTAGCAGTCGGAGCGCATAATTAAGCTCCTAATACAAAGAGACTCTCAGCTCATCGTTAACCAAGTACTCGGAACGTACGAGGCCAGAGAAGACTCCATGGCCAAATACTTAGATCTCACACACAATCTATTATCCAAGTTCGAAAGCTACGAAATAAGACAAGTGCCTCGCTCCAATAACATCCATGCATCCATGTTGGCTAGGCTTGGAAGCTCTATGGTAAACATTGGGAGTCGGAAGGTTACTCTCCTCACCCCGCCTCAACCGGAGATAATTTCAACCAATGAAGTGCATTACAATGACGAGGACGAACCGTGTTGGTTCACTCCAATCATAAAGTATCTCAAGAAGGGAGAACTTCCAACTAACATCACCGAAGCACGGAAGTTAAAAACAAGAGCCGCTCGCTTCGTAATAGTGGGAGAAAAACTGTACAAACAAGGATTCTCATTCCCCTATCTCAAGTGCCTCAACCCAACTACAGCAAATTACGTACGTCGAGAAGTATATGAAGGCATTTGCGGCAATCATTTGAGCGGTAGAACCTTGGCTCTCAAACTATTTAGGCAAGGATACTACTGGCCAACGATGCACGAAGACGCAAAGAAATTAGTCCAGAGGTGTAAGCCCTGCCAAGAGCATGCCAATATCCCTCACATGCCAGCGGCATTAATGCAACCGATTGACAGCCCCATCCATTTCGCCCAATGGGGGATCGACTTAGTCGGACCATTCCCGCCCGCCACAGGAGGGCGCAAGTTTCTCATTGTAGCCGTGGATTACTTCACCAAATGGGTGGAGGCCGAACCCTTAGCACGCATCTGAGAAGAAGAAGTCGTCCAATTCCAATGGAAGAATATTGTGTGTCGTTTTTGGATCCCACGTTCCATTATTTCAGATAATGGAACCCAATTTTGTGGCGACAAAGATAATAATAATAATAATAATAATC